TTTGCAGGTGGGATTTGTACTTGCCTTATTCGGAAAAGATCTTTAGAAGTGAATGGAATCATCACATTGTCATTTGTTAAACAACGGCTTTTGCAGGTCCTATACAACACATTTGATGGGCGACGCACGACGGGCGACGCACGACGCACGGCGGACGACGCACGACGGGAAATGGCATGTTTGGAACTGGTAAATGGCAGAATTGGGACACAACAAAAAGCAAAATGCGACGGACGACGGGCGACGGCAGATATGGAATTCCATAGTACAGCCCGACCAGTCAATTATTCAGGAACCGCATATCCATCAGTCCAATGGTGACAATGATGGCCACGCCCTTAGAGCTTGCATGTCCTTCACAGATGTCCAGGTTGTTGCCAGTTCCCTGGGTCAGTGAAAACTTTGACTCCGGAGCCGATGAATCCCGCAGCAGCGTCAATTTTAAGGCTGTCTAAGGAGCAATACGTTTCCGCAAATTCTAGAATGGGCGAGAACCCTCTTGAAAGGCCTATGTCACCTCAAACTGATGGAGTGGCTCGTTCACCTGGAACCGTCATGTAGTTGTGACCAAATGGTTCACTCAGAACCCATAAGACTTTAGATTCCCCTCAGGGGAAAAACCCTTTGAAGAAAAATCCAAATAATTCACAATGTAACCCCTGTTGTGATAACAGTGACCTAGTTTGGCTGTTCCCACCACTTTCATTTAACCCTGGGTTAATTTACGTTTATGATCAAACTCATGCCAAAACGCAACCTTTCTTTTTGAAATGTATCTCTTTTCCATAGTTGTTTTATAAAAAAAAAAAAATTAACATACTGTAATAAGTGAAATTAATTTAGAGTTTTTCTGTTTGCTGTATGATCGCATGAATTTCAGCCACCAGGCATAGCAAGCTACAACGGGCTTTGTTATCAGCGATCTATCGAAAGACTGCACTTTAAAATACGTGCTTGATTCATTAAGAGGTTTTGTGAGCATTTCGGCTCTGTAAAACACACCGAAGAAATTCAGCAGTTCTGTCAACCAAACAACCGCAAGTGTCAATTTTGAATATATCTGATGTTTTAAGAGTTTATGGGCTTAACAAAAGATTGATTTAAGAAGTTGTCTTAATGTTGCAGAACGTTAAACTGTGGACTGTCGATTATTGGACATCGACCTTTGAATTTACCAAGTTTCGCGGCAAGAAATAGTTATCAAGAGGAGCTATAAAGAGGAACTATTGAACATAAAGTGTTCTTTCGATTATTACCAAGCAGTTGTACAAAATTTGTTATGTGGAATATGGTTAAATGTTTTTGATTATCAGATGGCTTGAAGTTGAGGGACCAAACCCGAGATAATGAGGTTTATTGGGGCTCAAGCTACTCAGACCAAGGGAGAACCCAACCTAGAGCTAACCAAAGAGGCCGTAGGACACCTGGAGGTTGTGGTGTTTCCAAGGATCGTGTCAGATTCTAACCAGTTGCAGTCCCTATATCCTTATTGCGTCCGGATCCCTTACTACAGAGAATTATAGAACTTAAAATTGTAATTAAGAGAGCTCTATATACTTGTAAATACTTCTAAATTTATATAAATACATGTAGACTTGTGAGAACTAAGTAGAAAGTCTCTGGTGTTTCATTTTGTTGTTGGGTTGTAAATATATTTAGTTGCAGACAGAAGGGAAAAAGATTGGGAGACATCCAACAATGTGTACAAAAGCTGATTATCCAGAATATTTCAATTTTCTTATTTGCTTGGATGAGTAGTTATTGTTCATGCTGCTGAAGTTAAATGAGATAAATCTGTTCTCTATGATGTTAGTTTTTAAGGATTGGAATGCAACATAACTGTGGTTACGCGTACATATCAGAGGCACAGTTACCCAAGATGAAGGAAGCTGTTTGAAAACAAAGGGAGAAAAATAACAAGGTAATCAGTGGTGACTGAGAAAAGGTCTGCTGTTGGTTTTGACACACCAGAGATGACAAGTTCTGATTAATGCAGTCATGGGCAAATAGGGGAGTGGGACCCATCCATGTACATGAACTAATGCTGCTCACTGATCAACATCCATGTTTCCAATCCCCCACTGTATTCCTACTCATATGTAGCTAAGTGATATCCGAAGTGCTGAAAATTCTGATACTTTTTTGCACAAATATTTTCCCTTTTTTAGATGACACCTAACAATGTCCACCAGCACAACATGAAGTGGTGTCCCAAGTATCATTGATAGAAATGCAATTCAAACCAAGACTGTTTTACAGAAGGACTTCATCAAATACCAAGATTACCTGAAACAACTGCTACTAATAGGACATGAGATGTATGCATACATGTCCCCTGCATATTTTTCAAGGTCACAGCAAAAATTGTGAATGAAGACAGGTTTCGGAAGCATTATGCAAAGTTTCAACTTCACAAGTTCCTGATATTTTGAATGTGTTCCCATGTCTTGTTAAGTATGCCTGGAAATCTTTAGGACAAAAAATAACTACCAGTTTTCTATAATACATTGTACACAATAGTAAAAGCCCAGAAGTACAAATGCAGTTTTTCCTCAATATTTTATATATAGTAAGGACACTTGAGTATTCTGTAAATCTGATAATCCATCAACCTCTGGACGAGTTTTAATGTTCAATATTTTGATTTTTTTTCAATTGTAGGTTTGGAGGAAATGTGTGAAATTGATGTTTACATTATTTTTCTTTCCATCTTGGAATCGACATTTCTTAGTTTGTGTATACTGATAGTCCTAACAGTCCCAAATCCTCTGATTTTAATCACACCATAGATGGTCAGGGTTGATCAAATGCATACATCATACTGCAGTGGATCCTCCTTTGGGCAATCAAACCCTTACGAGAAAAGTGAATGGCACCCTCACTTGATGAAATTAAACATTCATGTAGTATCTGACTGATAATTTCTGTGCATTTGACAGGGATGAGGCAATAGTTATTAATTATACGAGCTTCAAGTACACAGAGTGTGCATTAAGTATTTGCATATTTGAAATAACTTTTCATTAAATCATTCATTGCCCATTATTCTTTTCAGTAGGCAAGGGAAACATTGTGTTTTTATTGGATATCTCAATCAGGGTCATCTTATTTGAAAGATATTGAAGACATGTTGAACTCAACTGAAAGTCTAATAGTTAAGTTTCTGCCGTCTCTTGTAAATGGTTCAATTTGTATGTAATATCAAAAGAGTGTAGTGGGCCCTCACTTGATAAAATTCAACAATGTGTATAAAATTGTTTCAAAGGGAAGTGTTATTCATGAAAATTGACCTCATATGATAATGAAGTTTTACCTTTTGCTGATTCCATTCAAACCCGGCACATAGCGAGACTACCACCTCAAGATGAATGCCGAGTAAATCTCCCAATTTATTATTGAATTTTGAATAATTAAGTAATTTTCCCCATATGATTTGCACGTTTTTGAAGGCCTTTTGCCACTTGACAATCTTGCATCTTCATCAAAGTTGAACAAAGCAAAGCCTGGGACAACAAAAATGTACTAATTGACGTTGTTATGACGTCATCAAACAATTTATTATAGAATTGTTCACATTTCACTTTTCCCCATTATGTTTTGGACATGTTTTTGAAAGCTTCTTTTGAAATTTGGTAATCTTGCATCTTCGGGTTTTACAAAGCAAAGCGTCTGAAACCAAAATGTAATAAAGGAATGACACTGTGATGATGTCATCAGGCATCAAATTCGTGCTTAATCTTCACCAATCTACAAAACATCAACTTTGACTTAACAACAGCTTTTTAATTCATTTTATATCAAACCAAAAATTTCCTGATACAGCACAGTTTGTCTTTCGACAAACACAATGTCCATCTCGTTTTAATTTTTTTTCTGTTGCAGAATACCTTTGGACATCCAAAAAAACAAACCATTTTCTATTAGATTCATCACTTCAAAATCACTAAAACTGACTTTCACACATGTACTCTTAACCCTAATGCCCTAGGTTCTTGCACTGCACCAAACAAACTGGTCACGGTACCAAACCTGATAAAATCCAACAAAGTGGCTCATTGGAGTTTGAGTGACATGGTATGGATTGGTCTATGCAGTTTGGGATGACATGCACTGAAGCATTACCAAACCTGACAAAATCAATCATAGTTCAACACTTAATTGGTACAGCAAGCCAGACACTGTACACAATGACCCCTGTGTGTCCCAACTCACACATAATCCAACACCATCACTCTGGGCCTTCATACCAAGTCCAACAAAATTCAACAAGAAGTTAATCAGGTATGGAACAAACTTGCCAAAACCTATCAAAACCTACTCTTGGAGTTTGATGGATACTGGGCAGTTAGGGTTAATGAACTTTGTGGTAAAGATGAACATGTGCACTGAATTTTGCTTAAATTAAAAATTCAAGTTCTTATTGTCTGAAGAGTAATTTCCTGACTTTGTCCAATGTATTCCATGATCACATCACGTAAAAATGCATTGGCAATTTTTTTCTTTCCACTGTATTTAAATTACATATGTGTTTGACAAGTGTTTCCTTCTGTTTCACCACTCAAATTGGTTTGCCTTTTCCTCTCTATTTACAACACATGTAATCATATTCAATATATTTTACTTATTCAAAACAACTGAATGCATATCAAATGGATACAAAATATCCAAAAAGAAGAGGAATGATGACAAAAATCAAGTTTTTTAGTATCAAGACAGCAGCACGTTACTTTCTTTTTTTCTACCACAGGGTGTCATTTATATGTTCACTGCATTAAATCAACATCCTGCCATACTTTCCACAGCAAATGTTTGACAAACTGACCTCGATATTTGGTTAATTGAATAATGTTCTTAAACTATATACATTCAAAATATGCACTGCACTGAAATGATGCCATGACTGAAGAATTGAAATAACTTGGTTATTGGTTATTTCTTTACATTGAAATAGAAAACACAAATTGCTCATAGGGTCAAATTAAAAAATTGCAATGTCATTGAAAAAGCAAGTAAATCAGAATCAACAGTTCCTAAATGTTAAATTTTCTGTTTGTTGTGAGGAAGCAGGATAAAATACCTGCTTTGCAGCACTATAGGATTTTTGGTTAGTTGAATTTTAGTTGTAAAAAAGCATATCCGCCATGAGAGTGCACAACAGGGCCCTCTTGTGATTAAGTTCTAATTACCTACTTGTTCCATGTCTAATTACGTTTTTCCACAAAATTCCCATAAATTCTGCCTTAATGACTCCTAATTGCTCATTACCTTAATCATTCAATTACCAGGCCAGTCACAGATACCCCCTTTACATGGATGACATAGAGTGAGTATATCTTGGCATAGTATATCTATGACATTTGGGGGTATTACTTGTTATCATTAGACTTGGGATTATAATGAACGTCGTGTATCTATATGTACATGTCACATTATACATGTGTGTACCCACAACCGCAAGGGGCACATATTTTCAAAGGAGCTAACTGAGGTTCCTTTGGTAACTTTTCTTTCGATCCACTTGTCTGCTTTTCTGACAGGGAAAAAGCTGATGATCACTTTTCGACCACCAGTGAAGAGAATAAAAGCAGATGACCACTTTTTGTCCTCCTTACATGTTCCTTGACGATGGAACTACAGAGTACAAAGGTCTAGGAGGCTAGTGATATGAGCAAGGTCATTCTCAGAGTTAACACAATTGGAATTCATTTTGGCAGATTATGTGAATGGGTTCACAGTAGAAGAACAGTTTGGCTAGAGCTGTCTTAACAATGGAACGTGGTCAGTGCCAGTCGTAAAGGAACCAACAGGTATAAACAAATTACATCCACAATCTGCGGTAAGTATACTAGTTCAGTTGAAAACAAAAGAATCCCCAGTGCATAAATAGCCGGGTTTCATGGAATGCTCTAGTGTTCATATCCAGAGAAGTGGAAACAGAACTTCATTTTTGGAATAAGAACAGAGAGGGTGAACAGAGTTCACTCATGCGATCATGTAATTGTACTATATTCACAGACACTTCAGGTTTTAGATACAATGGCTACGCATGCAAGTGAAGATTTCAACCTGGATGTCGTTGGCTCTTGGTCACTCAGAGAGAAACTATAGTTCCTCATGGAGAAAACACAAAGTTCTTGGCCATTGAAATCATTTGGACCTAGCCCGGAGAGGCAGAATATGCATTAGTTCACCGATAATATTCAAACATTCAAAAATTGTAAAGAAAGGTAGCAGGAATCCCAAATTACGAGATTGCTATTGAGATATACGAACCATGCCAGCAGTTTGGTTTAAGTTTGGATTCCAGAGTACAGAATAAAAGAGCAGATTGCGTAAAATATACAAGGGACAGTAATGATCGGGCTGTAGACCCACACGTTTAACCTACTGGATTGTAAATGGGGTCCCCACACAGTTGATAGGTTCTTAAGTGATCACAATATCGACATGTACATGTTTTAATTCTACATGGGGATGTCCAAATTCAGAAGTCAATGCATTTAAACAGGGTTGGCATGAAGAAGTAAATTAGTGGGTGCCACATACCTCTCCAATTAACAGTACAAGTAATAGACAAAGCATCCCAGGAACAAGCAAACGGTATTCTAGTTGTCCAACAGTGTGAAGCCCGCACCTTTCAGGCCCAAAATTTGTCAAAGAATCATATTTGTTTTCTTCCAAGGATGTGAGGAAAGGAAGGGTAACATCACTCTTATCGCCCTGAAATTTCAATTTGAGACACGGATTAATATTATTATTTCAAACAGGCAAAGGCTTACACAAGGCAATCACTGAGGGGCACCAGGGGCTACTTGTCATGACATGAACAACAGTTCTGCTGTACCCCTCATCGACTGACTTAGGGGTAGGGTTACTTTGCAAAAACTGCACTTTTGTGCCGAATTTTCAAGATAGAAAACTATCCACCACTCAAATCAAAGCTTATGGTTGTAGGCAGTTTCGTTATTGCAAAGAATGCTTGTTTTTGAGAATAAATACAGCACAGGAGCCCTAAATATGATATCAGCTGATTTAAAAAAAAGTAGATTTTTTTTTCAGCTGGAAGATACTAATACCAGACGTGCGACTTGAGAGCACCTTTTTTTGGATGTCCAAAAGTATATTACAACAAAAAAAATTATAAATTAATTTGGAGATAAACAGCCCTATCAAACAGACTACAACAATGATCCTTGAACAAGCAACTATTAGTTATAAATAAAACACAAATTTTGCAAGCAGTTTTTATAGCAACTGTAAGTTACAGATTAGATGATGAATCAATACAGTCAATACTGATTCAAACAGGTCCAGATTTCTGCAAACTTGCTACGGTACACAATTCTCATTTGAAAATGAATAACATCTTTATGTCAGTAAAAATTGCAGCAGGGCCACTGACTACAAGTACCACAAATACATGTAAGTTGAGATGCTCTGGGGGGTGTATTAAAGCAAGGTTAACCACATGCTGCAAGGTGCTTTAAAAATGCAGTGCACACATACGGGTGATTTTCAAGATTTTCAGTTATCCAAATTCTTCAAAAATTCATCATTTCATTTAATGGAAGTTTACACCCACACGAATGACTCTTTGGTGGCTACTTTAAGCTGACAGGTAACCTTCATTGACTCCTGAATATTTAAGCCAGGCCTGCCGACCTGTAAAGAAAGCCCAGAATTGTGAGGGGTTGCATAATTTCCTTTGTTCCCAGTGAATGAGAGTGGCATCTTTTCAAACGCAGCTGGATGAGCATGCAGCGGTGTCGCTCTTAATTGGGCCCTGGAGCACTTTTGTCTGCGGTGCTAATCTGCAGGCACGCTATACCCAAAACAGTGGTATACTGTTTAAAAACAGTGATGGATTACCTTCGAAAATGCAAGCCAAAAATGATGGCAATTCCCAGCAGCAGGCCTTTTGTTCCGAGTATGGTCTTTTGTGACATGGACCAGCTCTTTTGTCCCATTTCAGGCATCCCGGCTCTACGTATAACCCATGGTGCTCGAAATGGGGTTCCCCGGCAGCAAGTGGTTAAAGAAATGGTTCAAATAAGTAATGAAACAAGTTGTGTAGTAGGTTAATATTCAATGATTAAAATTATTCAAAAGTATGTCACAATACCAAAGCTAACTGGGAACAACCCAAAAAACAAACAAAACAGAACAAAGCAAACCAAAAAAGAAACAAACAAATAAAAAAAAAACCAAAATACTGCCAAGAATTACTCTAAATATTAACCCAAAAGTTCAAAACCATGACTTAATTTGATAAAAAAATGAAACAAACAAAGCCTCATATGAACACACCCACCTACTCACCGAGCCATCCAGCCCAACAAACACTCTAGAACTAAGAAAACCAAAGTAAACCCCACTTACCGGTACAATAATCCACATTAAACAACTCTCATGCATTTATTAGTCTCCACCAATCTGTAATTTTCCCTTTTGCCTTATAGCAGTCAGCTGACATTTAGGAAGGTGTATCACATGGTTTTTCGTCAACTGAGTATGTATATAAATGTACAAAATCTTCAATGTGAAGAGATTAGTTTCCACTAAGTCAACCTCTTCAAATCAGCAGCAGAAAGTACACAATTATCACAGAGTTCTTTATGCAAATTATATACTTAGGCAGACCTGTCTGTACAATATAATACATTCGATATAAATATTCATGAGATATAATTAAAGATAACTATAGTTTTTTGGCTGAATCTTGTTAAAGAATGTTCTTTTGGGGGCTTAACGGGAATTATCTTACAGGTAAAAGCAAAATACAAATTCTTGTCATAACAATATTTCCAACTAAAGTAAGAGTTACATATAAATTACTAGCAGTACGTAATGCAGATCTGCCACAGGACTTGTAGTTGTGCCATGAGTCCTGGTAGGTAGAATCTGTAACTTCGCTACCCTCCTTTAGGTGTTCTGATGGTGTAGGTGTACTGTCCAAAGATAAAAACAAAAAAACAAGGTCACAAAAGTAAACACACACACACACACAGAGTAAGGAATATTCAAATTGTGTTTCCATTTAAACTTTGTCAGGCTGCGTCCAAAACATAATTGTGGGGTTGGCAAGTTTTGAAATCTTCACATTCAACCCCCCCCCAAATCTTCTGCAACTGCACGTTTTCAAGACGTATTAGATGTCTGTATGAGACACTTGACATAAAGATGTTTGTTTGCGGTTCAAATTAACTTCTGTTTTCAAAATGATGTGAAATATTCTGACCACTTTGCAGATGGTATTGTCAGAACTGACATCCTAAGCCCATGCAACACTATAACATGATTTCAAGGACTAATTCATAAATAAAGCACCCAGAGCATGCATATTAAACTTCTAAGGATTCCATTTCAACCCTCTGATCTCCCCAGAGATCTCTTATATGCATTACACAACTACCAGATAACTTTATGACAGAGTTCTTGACACTCCACACTACTTGTAGAAATAAATGCGATTAAATGCATTTAGGTATGTATTCATATGCAGTCAAGGACACTTAACAGAAGAGACGAGTTGAAGAATGTGATTGCCTGATCACTTTATGTTCTATTAAAAACTAATGCTCATCCCCAGGTCCCTAGCTGGTTTTAAACATACTATTATAGTTTAAAACCAACTCAGAATGCGAGTTTTATTCCTTGTTTTTCCTGTAAATATCTTTTCTGGGTGAAAAAGTACACAAGAGATAGACAATTCATATTCTTATGAAAAATTTTTTTGTATTATTTTACCTTGTGATTCGAAAAACATGCCTCTAGCAACATTTTTGCTGCGTACATACAACCTTAAAATCTAAACTGGCATGGGCAGTGCATATTTCATGATATGACACGGAATGCATCTCAATCAGTGTAGAGAGAAATAAGATTTATTCTATGAAATATAAACTCATTGGTTGTATTGTGCATGCCAACTTGATAATGAATAACAATCCATGAAATAGGAGTCAATATTCCATATAAAACCAGTTGGAATTTTTGTCTGTTAAAAGCCACCAATGTGATTGGCTTCAAATTAGCAAGCACTTAAATAACATTTCAGAAGATCAACAAACATGGAAAGGACATATGATGGCCAAGGGAGGATGCGTGTTCTCCCACTGTCTTCTATTCTTGAAGAAGAAATGGCCTACGTGCAACCAGCCACTGGAATTTCACGACCATCTTGGTAAAATCCACAAAAAATGAGTGCATACACGTGCATGGATTCAATGGTTAGTGGGCATGCCAACATCAAAAAAGGAAAATCAACACAAACACTGAAATTGTTATTTTGCACTAAAAACCTTCATATGTTCGCAAAGGTGACTTCAAGGTTAACTAGGAGATGGTTTCAGAGGAAACCTACCAGTAGGGTATGATCACTAGTCAATCTCCCTTACCAAAGCAGAAAGATCTTCATTTCTCCCCACAGAGTAGTACATGAATTATGGAGTTATACACAAAATTTTTGGTCAGTTTACAAAATGAAAATAAAAAAAATAAAAAAACAGTCTGATTCTGAAACATATTAGTATCTCTTGGGATTTAATGAATCCTGTTTTTTACCATTATCCTATTTCCTGCTGTCCATATATTCCAGCATTCACAAGGTTAACATACAATGGCCTTTTCACAGCTATTGTGCATACTTGGTAAATTTGCTTACTTTTCATGTGATGCTGAGGTACGTGAAAATGCTAACATTGTTACATGTAGGTGTAGTGTCCATTGCTAGTTATCATCAGTCACACTGGGGTGGTCTTGTGCACATTATTATTCTGTCTCATGTCGTATGTAAGCACTGAAAAAAAACCCTGGATCTTTTCACTTATCTTTACATGTCTATTTTATGGGCTAAGCTTAACTGTGCTTGATTTCTGTTATCTGAATGGTGTTATACTCAGCGAATGCCTATTTTCTAGCACATACATGTATGAACAGTATTACTTGAAGTAAGCCTCCATGCAGTCTAACACTTTTATCTCCACAGTTTGTTCACAACATTGAATCAAATTTCTTGCCAAAACTACTTAATGCTTCATATGTATGTGTAGCCAGGTGACAGCTGTAAGTTTTATTTGGCCTCTGAAAAATGATTATATCCACTAAAGGATTCTCTTGGTCAGCGTAAGGTCACTGGGTCCTATGTCTTGTCCCTGATTGGTCGGTGGTGTCGATTATTTATTGCAATCTCTGGACTCAAAGGGGAATGAATTTCTTGTTATGATTTGCATACACAGAGTGCAATGCATACATAAATATAACCAATCAAAAGGCCGCGTCTAATGCACACTTCATAAAGACGAGCTGTAGCAAGGGAAAGTGCACTCACATGAGAGTGCAGCATGAATAAATCAATACAGGATTAGCAACTAAGCTTGGCTTTGATTGCATATACATGGATTCTTAGTAACATAAAAACCTGGGAATGAAAGGTGATCAAACATCAACAGGACAGGTACAGGTACACTGAAGGTTACTAGAGTTCCATTATAGAAGAATGGTGGGTTCACGACAGTATTATAGTGTCACTGTGGACTTCATTTTACTTTGTTCATGATTTTCACTTCCATTCAGTTCACTATCAGGGAGCGATGGGGCACAAAGTGAGCACAGAACTAGAGCTCATCTGTCTGTTCGCCAACTGAACAAAGGGTTTTGCATTTCTTTGTTAATTTGAACAACCAATCTCCTGCACAAACCTGATGGCGTAATTATTTCATCACAACTATCTGGGTCCAAGGTTTCAACCCAATCATGTATGCACTTCAGGAAATAATGTACTGTTTTTTATAAAATGTAATTTGACTCCTCATTTGATGAAATCATCATCACATCACGTAAATTTTCATCTAGAACTCTTCCTTTCCGTGTTATCTGCAAACTTTCAAATCGATGGGATATTATATGTACTTAAGGAGATATAAAGCCTTAAATAGTGCACCTTTAATGTCACGTTACTTGTCACCTGACGTTAAAGGTAATCATCATTACATGAGGTCAATTTCATCTATAACACTTCCCTTTCTGAATGCCTGCCAAGTTTCAATCCAATTGGCCTGCTGCATAAAGCCTGGTCAGCAGTCACATCCCAAACCTGAACTTGTGTGTTGTGTGCTATTTCATCAGCAAGTCCACAGGCACGGCCAGGACTCGACTGCGACTCCCACAGCCGTAAATATATGAATATAACACAATGCAATCTGCCATGTACTTGGCAATTAGACAGCTCCTGAGTATATGCCCTACGCACTGTCTGCTGCCTATGATACAGATATAATGCGTCCACACACACAGTAGTCAATACACAGTATGCAAATGGGATTTTCAAGTTTGTAATATTGTAAGGTGTGGTTTGTCATTGATGCCTTATCTGTGTGAAGAGGTACACCAGTTACACACTTGGTACAACAAAAGACTCCAGTGCTTCAGCTATCATATTATGGACAACTCAGGCTTCTTCCTCTTACAGTTGATTTGTTATGGAATTTTGAAGAATAGAAGATTTTTTATAACTTCAGGTCTGATTACGTCATCGGCCCCAACTTTCACCCATGTGTTAACTGGGTAAAGATCATCATCCACATCAATTTTCAGCTGATTCTGACAAACTTTGCCACAGACATCTATTCCAAATTCATTTTTCAGAATTTTCAACCTGTCGCTACAGAGGGTGCTTGGCAATTATGTGACATCATCAGTAGATGTTAAGATGTTGTTAAGATGTTGGTCCAAGTTACCTTTTCATTGTATTGGAAACACATTTTCAGGTTCTGCAAATGTTTCATATTACACTCTAATTTTTTCCAGCAGAATTTGCATTACGCACTTGATTTTCTGTTTACTTTTCTCTAAAAGTGATAAATCCAAATTGATGACTTTTGGAATGGATGCCATGACCAATCTTAGTGCTTTTACATACCCACAGACTGTACTGATGTCAGATCCGTATTACCAGTTGCAACTGAGATTCTCGAACATCAATACACATGAGTCAAAGCTATTGCTTGGCAGGGCAACAGTCTGCATCCGACAAGAATAGTCTGATACCTAACATATCATTGTGTATTAATGAAGTATAAAGTTTGGACAGCAGAGTACATGTTTTGGTATACCATTTTCCCTTATTAACCACACACTGCTGGGTGTTTGAAAAAAGCAGTGCACAATTATGGGCGAATTTCAAGATTTTCTGTTTTCAAAAATCTTCAAAAATTCATCATTTCAATTAATGGATGTTTACACCCACATGGATTACTGTCTGGTGGCCACTGTAGCCTGACAGACAAAATCTATTGATGCCCGAGTATTTCAGCCAGGCCTGCAGCCTTGTAAAAAGAGCCCAGACTGTGACTGTGTCATGTAACTTTGTTTTGTTCACAAACCTGGCACAGTGCAATGCTGACCTCTTTTCAGTAGGGGCCAGATTAGCGTGCAGCGGTGCTGTGTGCCTCATCGCTGCAGTGGTGGGGCGCTTTTGTCCTGGGTGGTAATTCGCTTGCACTGAATGCCCCAAACCATGGTATACTGTATCAAAACATGGCTGGATTATCTCCACCATTGAGAGTGAAAAAATGTCAGTAATGCCCAGCAGCTCAGTCTTTTGTGCCGAACACGGTCTTTTGTTACAAGGCCCAGCTCTTTTGTCCTGGTTTCAGGCTCCCCGGCTTCATGTATCAAGCCTATGTGCTCGAAAACGGGTCCCCCGGCAGCAAGTGGTTAATATATCAGCAACCGCTCATGCTTTGCAGTAGCTGCATCACGCACTGTTTTGCTCAGCAAAAAAAAACCTCCAAAAAAAAAAGTCCAAGTCTGAAGCCCTGAGTGTGAGTCATTTGTCAAAGTGACTCAAGTCTGAGTCATTAGAAATGTGACTCATGTCGGACTAGAGTCTAAATTACAAGTCATACCAGTTTGGTGTTTCCATATCTGATATCATGCATTACCCTCT